TCATATGACCTCCGACGAACTCGCCGATTCCCTTTCGGGTTCCACTCGAGGGCTTGTTTAGTAATGTCACTTGATGGTTTCCTCAGACTATGGACATCTCCATTTCTTCCTGCTTGTTTGTTGCACAATCGGTTCCTGCTGAGTTGGTTCGCTCATTGCCAGAGATCCCTGTTGCTGATCTTTTCTTACTGGTCATCTGATCTTGAGTATTGAGCGAAGACAACTGTCAATGAAGGTCTGTAGTTTGTTTGAGATGCTCTTTATGAATCGCCAAGTCTCTGATCCCCACGTATAGTAGCACTGACTTCACATTCGAGTTGAAAATCCAGATCTTATTTTCGATGCTGAGTGCTGTTGACCTCCACACAGACTTAGGAGTAATGAAAGCTTGTCTTGCTTTTCCGATTCTTGCTTTGATATCCTCGTCAGTTCCGTCCGCCAGTAGTTGAAACGATGCTCCCCGGGTAGGTAGGTAGGTAGGTAGGTAAGTGAAGGAGGTTGTTTCTTTCACGTTCCTCCCATTTATGCTGGCTGATTGGTGTCTCTTGTTGTTGTTGCTGTTGGTGTTGGTCAGGAATTTTCATAACCTCTGTTTTCTCTATATTCACCTGAAGTTCTATCTTTGATGCTTCTTGTGTCAGCTTGTTGCTTTTCACTTGCATATCTTCCAGTTTTTGGGAAATCAGACATATATCATCGGCGAAGTCCAGATCCTCCAAGTTTTTTGTGGGAGTCCATTTTATGCCTGTTTCCTCATTGCCCGCCACTGTCTGTCGCATTATCCAATCTACTGCAATCAGGAAGATCATTGGTGATAGTAGACAGCCTTGTCTCACTCCCGTTCTCACTTCGAAGGATTCCGTAAGTTTCCTGTTGTGGATTACTTGGTATGCAGCATTGTCGTACAACTGTTGGATGAGATGTATAACTGCGTTATCATAATAAGAAGTAAAAGTGCGGTAGTGAGTATGGTCGCTGGTCTTCATCTTAGTTACTACTAGTAAATATTTGTATTTCTCTTCGTTAGCCCACATCCACAAAAATACCCAAAAACTGGATCACTCCGATCTGGTTAGCAAAAACTACTAGTTGATGAGAGCTGCATACAACTACTACTCGTCTCAACCAATCAGTATTATGTGTAGCTTCACACATTAGTGCTTCCTTTCTTGATTACTGTTTTATGATATCGAGGAGATCACATATGGTGATGTAAATAATTTCAGCTTCCAATGGAATCCCTGTTGAAATTTCACCTCCTGGAAGTATGTTAATTGCAAATTGCGGATTCGCTCTATGGTATTACCACCAGTTCACCCAAGTAGCTAGCCAGAAAATGGGTGGTTTGAACTCATCCCGCTCTCTGCGCTGAGTCGAACCGAATCGGGCTCCAGAAGAGCGAAACAGCCATCCAATGCTTAGATTCATTCGATTTGGATAACAAGAACTACTGGTTGATGTGTCACTAGTATCCAACTACTCACTTCAACCTATCAGTAGTATAAAGTTTAGCATAAAAAGTAATTTCGACAAATGAATGAAATTTTATTTCCCCCCAAAAAAAACTTTTCCTGCATATCTGGATCAAAACTATAAACTGTAGATAAATTAAAATTACTTTATTGTAAGGAATTTTTAGAATTTCTATACTTCACTTCCAAATAATATTTCAAATAATAATTAAGCTTCATCAAGAACGAAAACTTCTTATTCAAAAATCAATCTAGTATTTCACTAGTGAGTTTGCACCAACGTCGTGTGAAATATTTCATGATCTACTATAGTTAAATATTTCATCTGCTATCGATAAATTGTTATGGATTAAAGCCAACTTCCCTGGTGTACGACCATACAAATCAACAATATTCCATTGAACAGCTTCTCGTAAAAGATAACGAACTATCGGTAAACTGCCAGTAATACAAGCAATATGCAAAGGTGTTAAAAAATCCGACTCGGTAATAGCATTCAAATCTGCTCCACTTAGTTTTAAAGCTATTAAACAATCGAATTGTTGATAATGACAAGCAGTGTGTACAGGTAGATAACCAAGACAATTGAAATATTTGTTAAAATTGTAGCCTAAGCGTGCCATAAGCATAATTAATTCACTTCTGCCATACTGTGCAGCAATATGAGCTAAATAATCACCATTTTCATTCTGTTGGTTAAGTATACTGGGGAAATTCAACAACAGGTCAGTTAACTGTTCGCTTTCTCCTTGTTTGAACATTTCTGTTATATCCAAGTGATTTTCTCTACTCATTTCATTACATCTTATGTGTGGAGTAATTATCTATTAAAAAAGAGACTAACAGTATTTAAATTGGTAGTAAATCAATTAACCAACCAATACGGTAAATTCAACTAATCTGACGATTAATTAATTTCTTTCTTATTTTTAACATTTTATTCAGAGAATATAATGCCTCAAAAGTGTGCAGCACATTTCATTACTTTAGAATATTATAATGATATTGAATCGTTTTTAAATAAAAATTTCTAGCCTAAAAAACAAATTGGTCATCAAATATCAACGAGTTCAATCTCTATAAAGGATAGATCGATGGTCCTTTCATTATTTGTGATGGGAATTCGGTTCTCGAAAGCCTTAGTCCAAACCTTCAGTAACACCCACGCAAACATCGACTTTACTCATACACCAGTTAAATCTCACACTCGATGTTCAGCTACAAAAAAATGTTGATAACTGGCTGAGGTGATCCATCTAAAAATGAAATGAACAGTTTTGTCCCTGTAAACACAAAGAAGAACCTCATTTATTCTCCTTCTTCAGGGATCCGGAAAATGAGTATCTACGAATCTGTTGACGAAGAGCTAGCTGCAAAATCTCAGCGGAATCTTCATGGAAGATGGTTAACTACCTGGATCTATTAAACAAGAACTTAAAATCAAAGAAAGCTGCTTAACAGGTTCCAGGTCGTACGCAAAAATTATTCTGCTGCTGAATCTCGAATTTAAAAATGATACTGAAGTACAAATTCGCTGAAAATGGCTTCAAAATCTCTCTCAGTGACACATACTTCTCTGCCTGCCTGAAAGTGTTATTTTCTTAATATATGTATAAAACTTGGGCACTGCGGTAGTAAGTAATTCCATATCAGTTTGTTTATTAGATATATCACACATTGAAACAGTATTATTCACTGGATGACAGCGTTTCAAACACAATTTATTGTTCATTATCATCTCATCAATTATAATCACACGACTTTGAAACTTGAGTTTTATAGTTTTCTTTGTCTTCTCCTCTTTGTCGTCGTAGGGGTAGCAGAATTTTCCAGATATCTGGGTGGACAGGTGTTGAATCATTCCTAATATATATATTTGCAGTTGATTCAATAAACAAAGCTTCTGTTATCAATCTCTCCCTCCACCCTGCTGTTATATTAGACTTTAAAACTGTCACCCTATCCCATCCTATTGTATGGCCGTGTGTAACTGCATGTAGTGCTATAGCTGAACTATTCTTTAGATTTCATATCTTATTTGCGTCAACCAATCTAGATTTTGCTAAGTTTTTATGTTCAGCTAGTCTGACTGTCCTTGTTCTACTAGTTTGACCTACGTATTCGACCTGACAATTAATTCAGGGTATTGGATAAACTAAATTGTTTTGTTTTAAAGGCTCCACAGGTTTGATCCTCTAACCGACAAAGCTTTTTTTTCTAATTGAGTTTGTGGGTTTGAATGCCAGTCACTTTTATTCCTACCTTGTTAAGGATTCTGCGTAAGCTTTCCGAGGTTCCTTCCATGTACGGAATTACTATTGATGATTCAGATTCCTTATTGTTGGTGTCGTTATTAATACTATTATTATCATTATTATTTACTTTATTTTTATATTTCCTTACATATTTCCTGACTAATTTATCCGGATAATTATTAAGTTTCAAGGCTCCTTTTATGTGTATCACTTCCTGTCTTAGATTTTCCTTGGTACTACTTAGTTTTTGTGCTCTGTCACCAAACATTTTACCAACCCTATTTTTACTGACATACAGTGGGATGATCGGAAGTCCAAGTATCTGTTTGAATGTGTAGGTTTCCTGTAAACACTAGTGTTTAACTTCCCATCTTCTTTCCTTTTGAGATTGCAATCTAACATTGAAAGTTCCCCTTCTTGACTTTCCAATTCATAAGTTAATTGAATTGCATCTACCTTCGAGTTGATGTGTTATTTTCTTGCAGGAAACTATCCAACCAGCAAGTGAAAGACAAGCTATAGCTTTGTGCAACATGAATATGCATATACCAGTTCATTCCATGTTAGTTTGTTTATTAGATGTATCACACAGTGAAACAGTATTGTATACTGGATGACGTTTCGAACACAATTTATTGTTCATAATCATATCAATACACCAGTTCACTCGTACTTGTGTGGAGCTAAGCGCATTGACCGCACCATGAGTCCGCTTGTAAAATGCGCTCAGGAACACTATACAGCCTGACTAGCAAAGGGAGGACGGGAATACTTACCTAACTCGGTAACAGAACATCTGGCGGACTCACGAAACCCAGCTCTATTTGAAAAGTCCTTCAAAGCCATAAACAACATCCTATCAAACCTCTCAGAAGCAATTACATAAGTATCTTGGCACAGCTGAGGCAGTACCGATCAAAAAGTCCAAGCCCAGGTTATGTATCCACAGGAGATACATCCAACCTTTGCCTTTACCATAAGCAGTCAATCCCCTCAATAGTGATTATCCTATTACGCTTTTTACCGAAACTTCCTCTTTATTTCTGTGATTTTCACGGTTTTTAATCCTTATTTGCACTACAATGTTTTCTTATCCGAACTTCCTATGTATTTAGCTATTACTGCATTTTTAATCCCTAGTTGTGATGTCATTCATTTGACACTCGACAAGAAGTAGTTCTGGAACTTTCTCACCCATTTACACAAATATACAACCTAGCTGAAAACCTCGTCGAAGAAAAACCCTTTATGTGTAATAGTCTTCTTAATATTTCCAATAGTGAAATCTTTGTGAAAAATACACTTAGTATACATACGAGTCAAATATATTCAACCGTTGATTCAAAATAACCTCTCTCTTGCAACTAAAATTACTCAGACAATCCTAATGAACACAGATACAAGACAAGTATTTATCTTAAATGCATCTTTATTGAATCGACACGTAAGAAAATGTTATGAAATGAGAAAAACAAAATGCTCATCCAAAGAAAACCTACATTTCAACAATAATAGTCTTTAATCGTGATACAATAAAGCATGCAAAGCAATCAACGGTTACGCATGAAACAGACAAGAAGAATGAAGGATTGGCCAACCAACGAACTTCAGTCTTGATAAGACCACACTGAACGTCAAGGGACTACTGAAACCTCTGGAACGTTGTTATTTTAAGGTTGTACTAAAGACATTTTGAATTTTGCCTAACATAAACTAGACTAACTCCTATACGTAATTTATGTCTCGATACTAAGTGCACAATGAGAAGAATTCAAAAATTAGGCAATCCAAGTGATTCTCAAACTTCTCCTACTAAATATGGTTGTATAGCAGTACTTTATTTCCAGCAGATGTAATCAACCACCTTTAATAGGTCTAGTGCTTAATAAAATGGAAATCTACCATATATTTTTCCTGTTTTCTAGTTGACTGCGTCACACAGACCGATGAGATACTGATCACAAAGCTATCCTTGTAACTGAAATTAGTCTGTGATCAATTCTCAAAATCTAAAACTTGTACCACTTGCGACTACTTATTATGAGCCAATCATGTTACATAAAAGACGACTCTGCGTTACCACATGTACGTGAAATGCAGCCCCCATATGGCAAATATTAGAGTGTCATAAATTTGACTTTCATGGTTAGTTATGAAGACAATAAAATATCTGCCAGCTAACTTTAGAAGTAAATTGCTCACTCTAAGTAATTGTATGGAACATACACAAACTTGGAAATTTGACGCACTCCTAAACATCCACACAAAACATCGAATAAGTAAAAATACAATGACCGAAATCTATCAATAATCAACTCGCCAAAATGCACCTCACGAGTGATTACTCTAAACCCACAACTGATGTAACGTCATGCCAGCGAACCATTCTCTACCTCACTGAACAGCGCCCCAGGACCTACATCCAGTAGGGAAATAACTTTTCGCTAGAAACATAGTAGCAGAATCTGAGTACTGTGGTAGAATATTACTTATTTTATATAACACGGCGAATATCAACCACTGGATGACGTTTCGAGCTCAATCTACTGCTCAATAATATCAGTGTATTTATACCACTCCCTAACTTGATTAATAAAGCTTCGCTCCCCCTTCTCTAACACAATTCGTCATTTACTCAAATCGGGTGTTGAGGAATTCTTGCACCTAAGTTTGGAAATGAAGTGAAATGTCTAGATCTCTCGACGTATCTCAACTCTTTGTGTTGCACATCTTCGTAAAGAAGGGCACTCATCTAAGGTGCAAACTGAAAAAGCACTTCAAACGAAGCAGATGTGATGCTATTAATCATCATTCGAAAAAGTATCACTGGGCATTTTTTCTGAGCATTAGCACCAGGTTTGCGGTCTTTCAGAACCTTTTTAAGCTACACATTTCTAACTTATATTCTCCCCTCTAGAAGACTCCATGAAATTCAGTCACTAGTCTGAACTTAAACTGCAAACTCCTCATAACCATTGCCGATGGCTAAGCCCGGAAGTGCAGATGGTCGGAGTCGAACAGACTACGAAGTGTACAATCCAGTATATTGTATCGCACACCGTGTACCACAAATGTTGAGAACTAGTCTTTTGAGTGTCAAAATTTGATGTTCCAACAAGTCAAAAGTGATTTCTAGAGCAACATCGGTCCTTTGACAAGGATGAACTAACCTAGGTTATCACAAAATATCCTTCCGGTGGTTCCAGGTATTGTGGTCATGACAATCAAACTAGTGATTGAGATACGTTGAGTACAGCACACTGAGATACGCCGACCATACCCCATCATTGTCCTAAAGACATGGTGCGAAAGATGCAGTTTACATTCATTTGAAAAGAATCAACTAAGATTGTCAAGAAACCCGAAAGATACTTAGCTACCACTTGCATCTCTACAATTCTTCCGTATAAGATCTTAGAAAACCTGTGTGAACAGAAGGGAAACCTGGTAATTCGGTCTTGGCATTCGTGTATTCAACACTGCAGAAAACTAGCTAATGACCATGAAGGGCAATCGTAGAAAATCTGGTTTATCCAATGAGCAAGTGTGAACCACCGATTCAACAAACTGAAGAAGTCGATAGACTCTGTGGAATGCAAAGGAAGGTCAATAGATATTTACTGCGTGTGAAGTCCATGTGGCTTCAACGGAACGTGGGTTTCAGGAACAGACTGATTCTGGCCTAAGTGGAATGCTAATAACCATCAATACATACCTCATCGACAATATATAGCATGATCTATGAAGTGACAAACCGAAATGTGTGAGATGTAGGTATTTAGAGTCTAAACAACTATCAATGTCAACATTAAAGTCGTTTGCAAAATTCGCCTGTACACTTTCGTCTTTCCATGTGATTTCCAACTAGAGAAGTTAACCGTCACTCCACAATCAGACGAATCCAGTACAATACGAAAATCCTAAAAGAACTCGATATTTAATATTCTGGTGCATATTAAACTGTTAGTGCCTAGTTATGAATTTCATGCTAATAATGTTAGACATAGATGTGAGACTGAAGTAAAAAAATTTTGAAAAACTACAAAAAGCAGCTAGCCATTCTATTCCTTCTAGAATTAACTATTAGCGAGAGTACCAAAGAAATCAATAACCGTAGTATAACTATTTAGGCAGTCATGGATCAGTCAAATTTGAAAACAGAGATACAAGGTACCTGTTTCTCAAGATTGACTCAAGTGCTCCTTTTCAGCAAGTCAAGAAGGATTCACAAAAGCCATGAGACTTCCTGATCATTGTTAGAGCTGAACAGATGAACTAACACAGCTCGTATACGAACCAAACCACCTGACATGAAATCAAAACGAAGTATCCCACTTCATGAATTTATATTAGACAACTACCAAGTTTCTGTTGGATCAGCATCCAGATTACTCCAACCTCCGCCAGCAGCTCCACCAACAGGACCATAACCAGAGGCAGGAAGACCCATATCACCAAGTGATCCAACAGGCATAGTTGGCTCGACTCCCCATGTTTCTGCGGCCTCCACATCAGCACCTAGAAAAATAAAGTCACGTTATGATTGTTCATTAGCAGACACAAAGGATTACACCATTAACACATCTTTATTACAATACAACCTAACGATCGACTACCGAAACGTGAATGCAAACTAGAATCTACAGTAAATTATTTACCGTACCTCTGCTATTATTCTTAATTCAAGCACTTTTCCTTCGGGAAATTATACATCGATGTGTAACATCTAAACTGTTTTTAACGAGGGTCCAATGATATCTACTTATATATTGCGTAAATCGGTGTCCGACAAACTAATACGCTGGGCAGAAGAGCATAAACTTGTAGAGTTCTGAACGAACACTACACAGCTGTCACTCCAAGTGACACGGTACTTGAAATTTGTAATCAGACTCACAATTATCCGTTGTTTCTGTGAGTTCTCGAGCCACCTTCGCGAAGGGAAACAACGTATCTGAAGATTTTGTGAATAGGAAGACCTTTGAAGGGAAATGCATCGTAGGCAGACTGTGCCCACTTCTGTTTACACACCTGGACATAATTTGAATTGACAAAGGAAACGAAAGTGGAACACAGATGTATCATGAAGTGCCACCAGTGTTTTATATGAAACCCATCAAAGATTCTAATATCTCAGAATAACAGTAGCTGCAAACCTAGGAGTTGAGATACATATTAGGATGTCTAGCAGTAACCATTGAAGAACTTGTGATGTCCATCTGGACTCCTTGCTACATCAGTGTGCTTTCGACGGATATGTTACAAATTCACAGCACTTCTTAAAAAGCAATAAGCCTTGAGATCATTATACTTGACAACAGACTTGACTGTGACATCGACAGTCATTTAACACGCGTCCGTTATGATTCTTACCTGGGATTGCTGGCTCCAATCTAGCATCATCAGCTTCCTCAGCATTTTGTTCTTCGTCGCTAGGATCACGGTATAAAAATAAATCCGGTAGCACGCTCCATTGTTGTAGTCTTATATCTTCTCCCCGTATACGTCGGACTTCACGAGCAAGCATCCACCAAACAACAGCAATTGAATGAGTAGACTGAATGCAATATGATGGAATTCTGAACATACCTTAGTGTTACAAGGGATAACAATATCGACACGATGTAAAGGTGTATCAGTGTTGCAAAATGCGATCACTGGAACGTTTACACAACTAGCCTCAATTACAGCCTGATGATCACTCAGAGGATCACTGACAACAAGGAGACGCGGTTCTCTGTAGCATGCCTAAAACAATGACCAAATCTCTCAACATACTTGCTTTTGATTTGTGAAAGCTCCAGGAGTGAAGCGACCTGCCATAGCTGTTGTACGAGTGTAATTAGCGAATTTCAAGACAGCACGTTGCGTATATGGCCTGGATCCGATTGCAAAAACCCCTGCTGGATAGTCGACTGCTGCAATAGCGCGTGCAGAAAGAAGTATTTTTTCCCATGTTTTATCCAGCTTGAATATATGGAATCCCTCTTTGGTACGTCCGTGTACATAATTGGCCATCTGAAAGTTCATGGTCGTCTCCCCTACATGAACTTGGGCTGCCAGCATCAACCGCAAGTCTTCTGCAGAAAGCTCCAAGACTGAATATCCTCCAGACATGATTAGCAAATTCTACAAGTGCCACTGCACGAGTCAATCGAAAAGGCGCCTTACCAAGTAAATTTCCTATTGATTCAAACAAGGAGGGCTGTTATGTCCAAGTAACCCTATAAAATTACTATGGGCTTCATACACGTAAAGGTCATACCATTTAGTTTTTTCTCATGACTTTAATACGCATCCTATATGCATTTTTGATCGATCTGAGAGGAATAATCACGATCACAATGTGTAGCTCAGTAACGTTATTGTAGCTGTGGGTAATGACACAAAATTATTAGCCTATGGAATTCGTCATGCGTCAGTGAATGCTAATCCTCACTTTCTAAGTAGGCTTGTTCAGTCGAAGGCTTTGGGTCAAGCATCCATTCCATAAGCTACTCTGTCGTGTTACGTCCAGTTGTTTATGCACGATCCCTAGCTCAGTGGTCATCCAGGCATTATGATTTTGGTCCTGATATCTACTTCGGATCTTGAAAGATCACTTTGAAGTTTCGTTTCGCCTCTGGTCTACGCGAAATAAATGCAATGGGATCTGTAATTATTAGATCTTACGGTAGCATACATCGGACTAGCCCTGAACGTCAATACACCTTCAAACTCTAAACTATGATGGTGAATTTGCATTTTCTGCTGGACAGTCAGACGTTCACTACTTGTGGAAACATGAATCACTTGTTACTGGAATCTTGTATGTTGCATAATGTGAAGTAATAATTAAATGTGTTATTTTCCTTGAGACTTCTTTAGCTTCTTAGAAAGCATACAATAGTTTCAACCATAGCTACAACTGAGATGGCCGGACTTGAAACTTCGCATATTTTGGTATATGTCCAGCCTCTTTGAAGGCTTTCTACTTGACGCTGAGGATTCATTTTACTAGTTAATGGTCTGAGCCCACATATCTTCCCTGTTTTGTGCCGAGCAGGCTTCATCTCCACTCTGTTGAGATTGACACAAAGTCTATCTGATTTTCGTTGAGTCTGTAGCGGTAAATAATTCCCCAAAATTATTGACCACAGCAATCATCACTGAACATTGGATGCTGACCCTCACTGTTTAAGCGGACTTGTTTAGCTGAAGGCTAGCGGTCAAGCATCCACGCCATTTAGCACTCCATCGCGTCACGTTCGTGGACGATCACTAGCTAGCTAAGCACTCCGATTTGGTCCCCAAATATATCTGGTAATTCGGACGATCAATTGTGGTATTTTGTTTTGCTTTGGGCCTACGAGGAAGGAATACTATAGAAGTTGTGGTTATTAGATCATGCGTAAGTATACTTTGTGCAACCCGTGAACGTCAATACCATCAGCCTCTAAACTGGTGAGTCCTACCGCGAACTTCATCTTTGGTAAATACACAGACAAATCCGTTCAGTTCGTTCTATTTAATATTTTTTCTTGTACTATTTCAAACTTTACAGATTTCGTCATGAATGATCATAGTCCTAAGGTCATTCGTATTCGCTCAACTGCCAAAACCATTCAGCTCGTACCATATTGGCCAGATAGCGATTAATCATGGTTTCAGATAGCTGAGTCTGACTTAAGTGAGCATGGGATAACTGATCAGCGTCCATAGTTCCTTGCAGTTGTTCATGCCCTACAGCGGGAATTCAGCAAGTGCGTAACTGTGTAGATATCAAGCCGAGAGGTAAGTAACTCGTACAAGTTGCTTAGATCAACCCTCCCAAGGAGAAACGTTCTCATGGATCGACAGCGTCTGGACGAATTATTTCGCAACGTCGAGTCAGGGTATTAGTCATCCCTGAGCATGCTAACAAGAATGAGCGAATGCTGTAATTATTTGTAATAGTAGTATTAGTATTTCCGCAATGACCGAATTACAAGAATTCAACCAAAACACAGATAAGGATGAATTTAGGAATTTTGTATTTGGCGGAATTATTATTCAATTCATATAAGGAATATATTAACAAGCAACACTAAGTATTTAAGCAATACAGAGATAGAAATTGTCGATCACCATATCCGCCACACTTCGAATGTCTCCTTGCGTCGCTTGACCAATGATGAATTCTGTTCTTGCGTTCATGTCATCTGCTAGTGTTTTGGTAACGGCACTTGTGTTATTTTTCATTACTGTTCGGAATTTTCTGCAGCATATTTTCTTCTCTTGTCTATCTGCGTTGTTCATGGGAGCGTAGTTTAGGACCTATACGACACTACTATCACTCTGAGGCGGTCGACGATTAAGGAAGGCATACAGATGAGAGAGACAGCCAAGTGGTAACTTTATCGTTTTCATGATACGTAAGCTCCTTTAAAGGCTGACAGTATGGACGTTCGCGAATTGTACGGAGTATATTAACGCAAGATCTTATACCAACAACTTCTATATTATTTGTTTCTCGTGGACCAAAGGCAAAGCAAACACCACAATTAATTGTCCAAATTACGAGATATATTTCAGAACCAAGTCGCGGACTGAAGCGGAAGCTAAGCTGGCTAGTTGTCGTGCACGGAAGTCACACCACGGAGTACCAAATGGCAGGGAGGCTTGACCGGAAGCCTTCAGCTAAACAAGTCGACTTCAACTCTAATGGTCAGCATCCAATGTTCACTGATGATTCCTATGGTCACGATGTAATTCTTCTCTTAGACATAATCTATTCTTACGGTCAGTAATTTTGGGGAATTATTAACCACCACACTCCTTTCCCTCCACTGAATAATAAATGCCCTTCTGTGTGTCTGAATAGATTTCCCCCGTTCCACTTGCCCACCATCTGCGCACTAATAAAAATATTTTCAAAACGAATCTCCGTCTTCTATCACTATACGCCATTTCGGTCGGTAATTCTGAGTTCACTTCAATTTCATAGCGAGTTGCTAAATTGGTAAATTCGAAAATTTCACAATAAGCCATTTATTTTAGTGTAGTTCACCGTAACCTAGCTATTCAGGTTGTTTGGTTGCATTTTAACACATTCAATTCCTTAAATTCGTACGTGCATTTTAATAATTTATTTCACTATTATATCTAATTTACTTATCACGGAGTCTGACTGAAAAAACTTTATCTGTGGAGATAGGTACCTTATTAACCCCGAAAACTAGCATACCTTAATTTGATAGAAATGACCCCGAAATGTAGTTAGCTCATATAGAGCACTACTTCGACATTAAGCCTGAGGGCTCCAGGTATCAGGAAGTATGTCCACAACTACGTTTTCCCATTGGCAAAGAGGTGCAGGAGCTTATTCTTCATCCTGTGACAGAGCGACCATATATTATACTTCGGCTCTAATCGATAAATTACCCTTCCATGTCTAAAATCTTACGCATACCATGATTACTTCTGGGGGAGACAATGAGAGATAGACCCCCATCACAATTCCCGCATCAATTATAACTAGTGGGAGACAGCCAAGCTGGAGAGAAAGTAGTAAAGCGAGGCTGGATGCACAATTCGAAGGCCTTGCTACTTTTTCGCATGTTATTCGCCAGGTCCTTTTTTACTCTATAGGCGATTTTTTATGAGGTCTCTCAAGGATAGTATTAGATATTTAGTCCCATTCTTTCATAAATTATAACTTCTCCGGTTATAATTGTCCGTTATAGTTGGTGTCGACTCAAGTTCCACCGTCATCGCATCTTTACATTTATAGTATTTTTATGGCGTGTCTTAATACTCTATTTCAATATTTTTATCCGTATAAACTGTTAATTGCACACAGAACTAGAAGGTTTAAATCTCTAACACTCTAAAACGGACCTTACAAACCCTTTGCTCATTCTCTTATACTTAAGAATTTAAACTCTATCCAAAATGCCAATTGTCCAAACTAAGAGTCTGACTCCACTATCTGCTTCAAATCTCAGTAAAAACACAAGTCAAACAGAATAAATAGGCCTGCGGGAAGTGAGAGCACTATATCCAGTGATTTAACAACTAAACACAGGTCTGCTTCAGCAGATACGTTAAGTCCGGGGATTAAACTCCCCTACCTGCTTGCATAGTAAACAACATCATGGATTGTATAAATAGTAATGCTACATGTAATGATCTAGGCCTCATGGACATCTGCAAAGCGTCTCGCGATATGAATCACAGGGCAATTATTCTGACTCCTATCATTAATACAGTTTCTTGTTCTTCACCTACTTGTGCGGATAAAATCGGATAACTATTTTCTATTATTAAGGAGCTTGAAGTTAAGACATCAAAACTGATACTAGTGAAACTGGCGGTAGTAGTACTTCACATAGGGAGTTACCACGAACCGCACACCTGATAAACTACGCTGCAACCGAAGTATATCAACGTGTAGTGCGCGATAAGAATATAACTGTGTATAATGTACCGGATAATGCACAGATCAACAAGGTCAAAAGCACTCTTCTGAATGTATGCCCTATGAATAATGTCTCGTGCAGCTGCCATTGACTAAGAAAGTCTCAGGAAAATAACTCTTTCCCAGTTGTGCTGAAATTTGACTCGTCCTCTAATGCGGACATCTTTTATATTAGGCAAACTCTACAGAAAAATACACGTTACCATACGATTAAGTTAGCTCGCGACAAAACGCCGATCCAAAGAATGACTTATATGACTGATTCTAAAACCGTGAATCTCAGCTCCTCTACAACACCCCTGAGCACCCACACTTCTGTTGAGGCGGAAAGAAAAGTGTGGATCTTTCTATACAAGGCATATTGTATTTGGAAACGAACTTGCGTGAAAATAAAAGGTGCAAAATAGTTCATTGTATAGCCACACACTAAGAAACAAATCGACCGTAGATCCAGACTCCTATGATAAAGATTCCTGTACCCCATTGACACACTGTAGTACATCACATCCAGTATTCACCAATCCAAGTAGTCTCGATTCCAGGAAGTTGAAGAATGTGGCTACCAGTTCGTCCACAAGGCCGATGCAGAGTAAGAGACAAATGCCACACAGTAATTCAGATGCTCACAGATTGACACCTTACCTCTCTCCAGAAATAAATATTCATAAGACCGGCAGGT